TCTACGACAAAGGAGGCAAGAATATACAATGGGGTAAATAAAGATAGCCTCATCAGTTAATGGTGTTGGGAAAACCGAATAGATACACGCAAAAAAATAAAACTGGTGCATTTTCTTATACCATACACAAAACTGAATTCAAAATGACTTAAAGACTTAAATATAAGATCAGAAACTTTGAAAATCCTAGAAGAAAACTCTTTGACATTGCTCTTAGCGAAGTTTTTTTGTTTTGTTCTTTTATTTGTTTGTTTTTAAATGTTCTTATTGATTTTTAGAGAGATAGAAACATCAATTGACTGCCTCTGCATGCCCCTTACTGAGGATCAAGCCCACAACCCAGCCATGAGCCCTGACTGGGAACCTCTCAGTCCATGGGATGAGGCTCAATCCACTGAGCCACAGCGACCAGGCTTTTTTTAATGTCTCTTCTGGCAAAGGAAACAAAAAGTAAATAAAAACAACTGGGACCACATCAAACTAAAATGTTTTTGCACAGCAAAGGAAACCATCAACAAAACTAAAGGCAACCTACTGAATGGGAGAAGATATTCACCAATGTTAAAGGGTGAATATCCAAAACATGTAAGGAATACATACAACTTAACACCAAAAAGACAAATAATTTCATTTTAAAATGCACAGCCCTGGCCCGTGTTGCTCAGTGGTTAGTGTCAGCCAGCACACCAAAGGGTCTGCGGGTTAGATTCCTGGTCAAAGGCACATACCTCGGTTGCGGGTTCGATCCCCAGCTCTGGATGGGGCATGTGTGGGAGACAACCGCCCTGGTCAGTTTGGCTCAGCGGTTGGAGCGTCTGCCTGCGGTTCGGAGAGACCCAGGTTCAATTCCCGCTAAGGGCATGTACCTCGGTTGCAGTTTGTCCCCAGCCCTGGTTGGTCGTGCGGATGGCAGCCTCTCGATGTGTCCCTTTCACATCGATGTTTCCCTCTCTCTCTCTCCCTCCCACTTTATCTGTACAAAAAATGGAAAAATGTCCTCGGGTGAGGATAAAAAAAAAAAATTAGGAGGGGAGGCAACCAATTAATGTGTCTCTCACATTGATGTTTCCCTCTCTCTCTCCCTCCCTCCTTCCTCCTTTCCTGCCACTCTCTCTAAAAAGAAAAAAAAAATCAATGGAAAAAATATCCTCGTTTGAGGATTAACAAATATAAAATAAAATAATAAAAATGTGCAGAGGACTTGAATAGACATTTCTTCAAAGGGGACACACAGATAGACATATAAAAAGATGCTCAACATCACTAAACATCAGGGAAATTCAAATTAAAACCACAATGAGATATAACTTCACACCTGTCAGAATGACTATCATCAATAAATCAAGTGAGGCAAGGATATGGAGAAAATGGAACCCTCATGGACAGTTGATGCATTTATAAGTTAGTGTAGTCACTATGAGAAACAGTATGGAGATTCCTCAAAAAAATTAAAAATAGAACTACCATATAACCCAGCATTTTTGGATATTTATTCAAAGAAATCCAATACACAAATTCAAAAAGATATATGCACCTCTATGTTCATTGCATCATCATTTCCAATAGCCAAGATATGGAAGCAACCTAAGTGTCCATCAATAGATAATATACAGTGGAATATTACTCAGCCATAAAAAAGAATGAAATCTTACAATTTGTGACAGAGATGAACCTAGAGGGTATTGTGCTGGGTAAAATAAATCAGGCAGAGAAAGACAAACACCATATGATTTTACTTGTATGTAGAATCTCAAAAACAAAATAAACGAACAAAACAGAAACAAACTCACTGATATAGGGAACAAACTGATAGTTACCAGATGGGAAGGGGGTTAGGGAGTTGGGTGAAAAAGGTGAAGGGATTAAGAAATACAAATTGGTAGTTATAAAATAGTTACGGGAATGTAAAGTACAGCATAGGGAATATAGTCAATAATATTGTCATATCTATGTACAGTGCCAGGAGGTTACTATATATATGTATAGCATGTATACATGAGGGATCACTTCATAAATTATATAAATATCTAACCACTATGCTGTACATGTGAAACTTACATAATATTGAATGTCAACTGTAATTGAAAGATAAAATAAAAGTTATTTTAAAAGGTGGAAAAGAATAGAAGTATAAGTTACTAGTTCTAAAAATAGTCACAGGGATGTCAAGTACAACATGAGGAATATAGTTAATACAATTGTTAACTATGTATAGTGTCGGATGGGTACTAGACTGATCGGGGTGGTCACTTTGTAAGATATAAATGTCTAATCACTATGTTATACACCTGAAACAAATATCATATGTCACTATAATTGAAAATGAATTTTAAAAAAGAAAAGCCTTGATGGAAATATTCCAAAACTAACCATGCTTAGGTGTTAAAATTATGGATGTTTTTCTACTTTTTGTATTTTCCATTTTTTCTTTAGTGCACATTCATTATTTAGAATTCAAGAATTCTAAACCTCTTCCAGCTGGGGTGGCTCAGTGGTTGAGCATCAACCCGTGCACCAAGAGGTCACCGGTTCGATTCCCGGCCAGGACACATGCCCAGGTTGTGGACCGGATCTCCAGAGGGGAGCATGCAGGAGGCAGCCAATCGATGTTTCTCTCATCGATGTTTCTATCTCTCTCTCCATTTCACTTCCTCTCTCTCTAAAACCAATAAAAATAAATAAAAATAAAAAATAATTTTAAACCTCAATATTGTTTTTAAAAGGCAAGGACAAGGCAGCAAATATGAAATAGTTTATCATTGTAGCTAAGAGCCTGAATTCTCAATTCAAATTCTCTGGGTCTGAATCTAGCTCCCAAGTTACTGTATGACTTTTGCTTGCCTCAGTTCACCACCTGCAAAGTGGGGGTGATATTGGTGCCTACCAAAATGGGTTAACAAAAGGATCAGTAAATAATATATGTAGACTGTTTAGCACAGAGCAGAACACCTTGGAAGCACTCAAAATGATAACAGATCCAATACTACAGTGTTTCAGAGAAAACCCACCTCCCCAGGGAAAGGTGAGCAAGCAGCACATCTTTATGTCTCAGAGACAACTAATTCAGAGTTGTCTTTCAGTGGACAACTGCCCCTCAGGCAGAATCAATACTTAAAACCTTATTTTTTTAAATTTTCCCCTGAAAAAAAAAAAAAAAAAGAATATGTTGATACTCATATTATGGGCAATTACCTCTTTGGTGCGTTTTTTTTTAATGTGCCAGCCATAATTTATTGTACAAAATGCCTTTTAGTTTTAAAAACAAGTCTAAGATTATGTTAATAAGATCATCAGAAAACATTAATCATTACTCTAAGATAAAATGATCTCATAAAATACTGTGCATTGTGCTAACAGACAGCAGTAAATTTGAAGATAAAAGTAATTGTCTAATAGAATCATATTTTATATCAAATGTCTGATCCAAAAATAGTGAAATCAAAAGTTGGTCTCTTATCTCCTACACCCAACATCCTACTTTCTGTACAAATTAAAATATCTAAATCTGGGTAAGATAAAGTGGTTAATAACTAGACCTTCACTTTGTCCACAATAGGCTTTTAATAAATATTTGTGGCAAGGACACCATTTATGAAATTGTAGTTCTTATTGCTTACCAATACTTCTTTTTAAAAGAATGAGAATTCAGTTAAAATTGCATAAATATTAAATTTTGACCAATACAAAATATCCAGAGGATAATAAAAGATTATAAGAAAAAAACAGGTTGAAATTAGTTTCTCTACATTTACTCCTCCTGAAATGGAACACCACTTTTGCCTTATGAGAGAGGATTATGCCTTTCAGCTTCCAGAGACATTCTTTACCCTAATTTCGAATCTAGATTTCCTTATCTTTGAACCCTAGACATGCTCTATTCAACTACAAGGCTGTGCTTCTTCTATTCACGTTCTTGACCTGGTTTGGCAACCTTTCTCTGTCCACGGACTCTTTTCTCCTTGCATAGAGTATCTGCCTACTTATCATGGTGCAAAGGTCTTTAGCCATGGAGTTGATCAGGCTTAGATTTGAATCTGGCTGGGCACAAGCTGTATCATCTTCATTCAGTTACTTAACCTTACTCAGCCTCACTTTCTTTGTAAATGTATATTTCACAAGGTTACAATCAGGTTAAATGAGACAATAGATGCTAAATGATTGGGTACCGCAGGCAACTTAATCAAGTGTCCTCCCCTCCCCCAGTGTCTTCTTTGGAGGTTAGCAGTCATTTGGATTCTAAAACCCTCGGTTTCTCTCCTTCTCGGACCAGAAAGCAAAGTCCTTCTGAACTTGAGATTTTTAATCTAGAACATTTGAGCTCTATGTTAATTTTGACCCATTCATACATGTCCCACGGGAACCGGAAAGTACATTGGTCCAGGGGAGGGCGGTCCCTTTTGGGTAAAGCCTGAGGACTGGGGCTCTGGCTCCGGCTAGTGGGTTCCGCTCAGTTCTCTTTCCCACAATCGAAGTCCAGGTTTGACTCTGCCCACCTCCCTCCTGAAACCGGCAAAGATCAAGTTGATCAGTCCCTCTGAGCTGTTTCTTTCTGGAGGTGCCAACACTTATACTCTCTCGAGATCCGTGGACCAGCCCGCCCCTGCCCTGCAAAGGAAAGATGGAAAAACGGGAGAGAAGGGGTAAGGGGAGAGACTCCGCAATCACACCGGACCTAGCCGAGTAGCAGTGGTCACGTCCGGGTCAGCAGCTCTGCCCGACCGAACTTACCGACTCCCCTCCCGACCAGCTCTGCCTGCTTCCTCCGAGCAGCCAGAGGATTTGGACTGGAACCAAGACGCACGTGGGGCCAGGGGCGGTGAAGAAGGCAGCTGCCTGCGAACGCTTCTCCATTCGCCTGCGTCCGGCTGGCAGCCCCAACCCATACAGGTACACCCCGCCAGCCCGCACCGCCGGAGGTCCTTGCACACGCCCGGCTGCACCGCGCTCCCGGACACCCAGAAACTTGCACCGCATGCCCCGCCCGCAGGGGGAAACGCTACCTGTGGAAGTAATGCGCGCAAAAGAGGCCCAGAAGCACCGTCGCAGGCGGGCCAAAGAGAGCTCGGGGCTGCCCGAGGAGCATCCCCAGCGGTACCGCGAAGGAGGGCAGCTCCTGCAGGAACCAGGCGGCGCCTGCGGGCAGGTGGACAGCCCTGGTCAGGCTCCCTGTATACTTCCCGTAGCCGGAGGGCTCCCCGAAGTACAGTAGCAGTGCTCCCAAGGCAGCCAAAGCGGCGCTGCCTGCCAGCACTGGGTTCTGCAGGCAGTGAACAGGCATCGTGCAGTATTTCCCGCCAGTGGTCCCTGCGTGTGCAGAGGAGAGCGAGGCCCTACCGCTCCTTTATGGAGCAGGAGACATCACTGTCCCCGCCCCTATAGCTTTGGCTCCCGCCCTCCACCCGGCCTCCCACCTGGGAGCAGCCAGCCCTGTCTCTGCTCAGCAGCAATGTCCCTTTCACCGGGCTGGCGCTTCGGGAGGCAGCCAGAGGGGGATGACGGTCTAAGGTTTTAGTGGAGTCAGTCGTGGAGCCAAAAATGTGTCCTGGGGCCCCAGGGCCTTTGACTAGCCCATATCCGCGCCTCCGTCCACGTGGCCACTGTCTTCACCCCCTGCCACTGGTCTTCCCCTTCGAAAACTTGTTCCTCGGGTATCAACCTCTGAAGCTGCAACTTCTGGGACTAGGAAATAAAAAGAAAAACACAGGACCGATATAGCGGGATCGCTCTCCCGCCCCCGCACATCATCTGGGCATAGCAGACGCTGGAACCACCACAGGCCAGGATCTCCATAACCCTTCTGGTTCCCTGCGCTCCTCCGCTGCCCACCTGCTCCCATCCAGCCCTCCCTCCTCCCTTCCGCGCTGGGCCGTCATCTAGGCACTTCCCAGGCCTGCCAGCCCCTCTGAGTTGGGGCGCCCGCTCCTTCGCCACTCTGTGCTCCCTCTGCACCACCAAGCCCCAGTCAGGTGCAGCCTCTCCCACGTCCTGATTCCTCCTCAGTTTTTCTCTAGACCCCCAGGGTGCGCCCCTGCTCCTCCTGCCTCTGCCAAAGAGTCACTTCCGTTGAGCGAGGGTATGGAAGTGCGGGGGGGCTAATAGTGACCCCGTTGGTCCGCCCGAGTCTCTCCTCCCCAGGGCCCCTGGAGCTGGCTAGGTTCGGGCAACGTCTAGGGCTTCTCCCTTGCGACACCCTCTCCCAGCTCCTCCAGCGATGAGTTGGGTTCCAGGCCGAGATGCCTTTGGCAATGCGGCTGCGTTCTAAGCGCCCAGACGGGGTTCTTTCTCTTCCTTGTTTGCCGCTCTTCTCTCGTTCTCCACCGGCATTCTCCAACCTCTATTTCCTCTTCCCTTGTCTGATTCAGCACCCAGACCTCCTCGGCTGCTCTCCTCCCGTGTTTTATGCCCCCTTTCCTCTCATTCTTTCTTTGACCTAGCTTTCCTCCTCTTCCCACCTGCTGTTGTACCCATTTTTGTCCTACCTTCCTTGATTACTTTATCCCTATTAATTTTCTCCTCTGGTCCCTCTGGTCTCCCAGGCTGAGAGAGAGAGAGAGAGAGAGAGAGAGAGAGAGAGAGAGAGACTCCCTCCCTGGGCGCTTTCTTCATCCTTCCCCCTTAGCTCGAACTCACTGCCCCTCAGAAGCCCCACTCAGAGTGTCCTCATCCATTCTTGCCCCGATGCACCGGGTGTTGCACTGAAAGGCACACTGTCTCCTCTGCCCAGTTTGGGGTTTTCTGATTCCTGGGACACGGGTATATGATGACACTGCTACAGGGCACCACCTGCTTGTTGACCAAGAAGTACTTATCATTTTCCCGTTAGTTAACATGTTAAATAGTAATCATACTTCAGTTTTCAGTTGATCACCATGTAAGAATTGCCCATGCTGACTGAAGCACTTTGCATGGAGGAACTGGGTTTGCTCTCACAGCTTCTTGGAGCTGTTTTTGCACTGGCTTCCTGAGTCTCAGGTTCCTCACATACCACCTGCTGGTTGAGAACACCCAAATCGACATCTCCAGCAGACCTGAGCTTCTGATCTGCATTTCCTCCTTGCTGACCAATTCCACTTGCATGTCCTTCAGAGATCTCAAATTCAACCCTACCCAAAGCTGAACCAATTTATCTTCCCCTCTATGCCCCATCCATACCCAGATCCTCCCTCTGCCATTCCTGGTTGTTACAACTTCTCTGTCCCCAATAGCTACAGCCTCCCTTGGAGGCTGACACATAGACACAGAAAACTATAGATTTCTTGATGCTAATACAGTATCAGGAGAATACGCAATGTGACATTTCAAACACAACTCAGTGGAAGAACTTTTTTAAATGAAATTTCTCCTTTCTCAATCCCCTCCTCTCCTTTTTCCTAACTTTGCCCTATTTTGGCTGTCATTAATTTTTTTCACTACTGTACCAATTAGCTTTTGCTACTCTAGAAGTCAGTGGCTTAACAAAACCAATTAGCTTCAGTTTATGCATCTGTGAGTCAGGCGGGGGTCAGCTGACCTAGGCTGCATTTGGCTAATCTTGACTGTGATCATTCATTCATCTGTGGAGCAACTGAAAGTCCCAGGCTGGGTTCGGATGGGGAACCTTAGCTGAGGCGGCTCTATTCCACATGGCTCTCATCCTAGGATGAGTAAGCTAGTCCCAACATATCTATACAATCTCAATAACGGAAACACAAGAGTACAAGAAACACACAAGACCTCTTGAGACTCAGGCCAAGAATTAGTGTACTCTTACCTCCGTATGCATTCTATTGGCCAAATCAAGTTACATGTTGGGTTCCAGAGTCAGAAAGAGAGAGTATTGCAAAGTTAAATGGCCAAAGACAGAGATACAGGGAGAGAGAGAGAATTAGAATCAATAATGAATTGTTCAGTGTTACATACATAGAGGAAATACACACATTGTAAAATACTTTTTGATTGATTTGCATAAACTGAACACATTGTTATAACCAGCACATAGGTCAAGAAACAGATTATTAGCATACCAAAAGCTCCCCTCATGCCTCCTTACATCTCCTCCCAGAATAATCATTATTCTGACTTCTAACACCATAATTTGTTATGCCTCCTTGCTCTTTTTTTTTTTAATTACAGTTGAAACTCAATATTATTTTATATTAGTTTAGGGTGTACAGCATAGTGCTTAGACAATCATATAATTTGTAAAGTGAAGCCCCCTTAATATTTTAAGTTTGAACTTATTATAAATGTAATCATATAGTATTTATTCTTTGTATGTGTAGTTTTTAAAAATATGGTTTTATTGATTTTCTTGAGAGAGAGAAAGGGAGAGAGAGATAGAAACATCCATGTGAGATAGAGACACCGGATCAACTACCTCCTGCAGGCCCCCTACTAGGGATTGAGCCCGAAATCCAGGCATGTGCCTTGACCGGGAATTGAACTGGGACTTCTCAGTTCATGGCATGACACTCAATCCACTTAGCCACACAGACTGGCCTTTGTATGTGTTTTAATGATACTTGTGATTTGTTTTAATCAGGTATGGTGAGATACACAGACACAGAAATGACTGTCATGAATGAAGTTTACACTCACAGGTCCCTGAAAACAGGAGGCACAGCATGCCCACAGAACCACATGGGAAGAACCAGGATAAGTCAGAAGGCAGAGAGAATGAGAGAAGTATGTAGACAACAGCGTATACTGTGGTTTTTGCAGGAAGGAATAGAATAGGCAGGGTACGCAGGCTTAGGATTGTCTAGTTTGAATAATTTCAGTGTGCTCTTGGTTTTAGAGACTATCTCTAGTTTTTTGGTACCTGTCTCTGAGGTGATTAGAACAGGTGAATAGTGGTCCAGAGTGAACTTGATGTAAAAGGTGGTTGTGGTATGGTTGGTGTGTATGTGTATGTGTGTGAGAGAGAGAGACAGAGAGAGAGAGAGAGAGAGAGAGAGAGAGAGAGAGATTGAGAAATCACCTGGGAAATAATGATCCCATAAGATCATGCTTTAGTGGTAGGAAAGCATCCTACCTAACAAAATCTAGTGGTAGGAAAGGTAGAGTGAAGCATCCTTCCTAAAAAAAAAATGTCAAATCAATGCCCCAAAGTAATCAAGGTGATTCCCAAGTAATTTAACAAAGCCCAACCTTCTTGAAAGGAAGACAATTAAATCCGGACAAGAAACAATGTAGCCTTCACAATATCCAACATCCATCTTACAGATCCAAGAGCATTGATAAACCTAAGCAAAATGAACACATCTAAATCATACCAAGGCATATCATAATCAATTTGTTAAACATGTCACATTTACTTCTGAGACCAACTACTGGAGTTGAACCAACTTTCACAGGTTTAGGACACAGTCCTGCTCAAGACTGCCCTCACTTCAGACACTAGCAAATTCAGGGGTCTTCAGACCACACACACTTCTAAACAACTATCTATAAATTTGAGGCTTCCCACTAACACTTCAGGTTCAATAATTCACTAGAAAAATTCACAGAATTCAGGGAAGCACTATCATTATGATTACAGTTTTATTTAGCACAAAAAAAAAAAAATCAGAACCAATCAAAAGAAAAGATGCATAAGGTGAGGTCTTGGAGGGTCCCAAACATGAAGCTTCCTTATCCTCACCTCATGGAGTCAGGATCTACTACCTTTTCAGCACATCATGTGTGACAATATGCAGTGTATTTTCTACCAGAAAAGCTCACCCAAGCTTCAATGTCCAGAGTTTTTATTAAGTTTTCATTATGTAAACACAACTGATTGAATCATTGGTCATGTGGTTGAACTCAATCTCCAGCTTCATTCTGCTCCCCAGAAGTCAGGTTGATATCACATGGGTCAAAGCCCCAATCTCTAGTCACATAGTTTGTCATTCCAGCATAGCAATCCCCATTCTGAGTCATCTAGTCAGTATAAACTATCAGGGGCCTCATGAATGGCAAAGATACTCCAATCACTCAGGAAATTCTAAGGATTTAGAGCAACTTCCCAGGAAATTGGAACAAGGCCAGCCAATTATTTCACCCAAGGGTTTAGAGGCTATCCCCCAAGGAGCTGGGATGAAGGCTAGACCTCTCTTTAGCTAAAGTTAATTCTTCACTACACACATGCCAAGAAGCAGAAGAATTTAGAAAATATAACCAAGCCATAAACCAAGAGGAAAATAAATCAATAGAAACAGACCTAGAAATAACAGGGGTGATGTATTAATAGACCAATAATCAAAAATACCTATTTTAAGTATGCTCAATATGATTCAGGATTTAAAAATGAACATAATG